AAAGGGCAGGGTAGCTAGTAGGACCGGTTACTTGGCTTTGTATTATATCTCAATCTAATACAACGATCTTCTGAATAATAGAGACCATGTAACGAAATATATCTTGGATCTCCTTACCATCCAAAGTAATCTTCTTAACATATATCAAACACATATATTGTTTTCGACGATACGATAGTTTTTTATATAAATAAATATATTAAAGGAAAAATTGACAAGAATAATCCCACCTTTCACTGGTCTTCTCATAATAATCCCAAAATAATCCCACCTTTGCACCTCATCTTCTTTCATTGGACCCTGACCAAGTTTTTTACCTTTTTTAAAAATCTTATATAAATAATCTCACATTTATAAGGATATAATTAAAAAGTGAAAGGTGGGATTATTTGTATAATTTTCAAAGAAAGAGTAAATTTGCATACTCAAACGATGTAAATTTAGGCATTACATCGTGAAAGTGAAAGGTGCACCTATACAAAAGATGTAAACGATGTAATTTTCTAGCAAACGAGTAATCTAGCAAACAATGTAATTTTCAATGAAAGTGAAAGGTGCACCTATATTAAACACATTACAAGTATAGGCATTAGAAAATCAACATACTATATACAAAAGATGTAAATTTGCACTCAAACAATCAAGTATGAAATATTAATCTTGTATGTTTAACAAATGTTATAAATAAGTGCTCCTACAGAAACAATATCCAAGCCTTATTCTAAAAAGAGTTTGGGTTCTGCTGAAATGAAAATCATCATGTGATATCGGAGTTAAAAACATTAGTAAGAGTCTTAGAGAAAGAGGAAGACAAATAATATAATCAGTAGTTTTAAAATCAGTGAATTTGTCTTCCTACTTATATACAACAACAATAACATCCAAGCATTATTCTCAAAAGATTTTGGGGTTGATTATCATGAATCACTCCATGATATGAGAGCCAAAATGAGAAGAAAGATTAAAGAATAAAAAGATAAAGTAAGATAAAATGGATAAGATAAAAATAACATAAGAACATAGGATATTAAAAAGATAAAAGACACAAGAAAGAGAAAAGGTGAGAATACCATAAAAACATTGATAAAGAAATGTTACAGACCTAGCCCATACTAGGCCCATACTAATGCCATAAGCTCAGGTGTAGAACTCACTCCCAAAAAACTAGCGGATTATGAGTTCTCGTTGGTCATGACTATGTTGGTCATGGTTGGCATCCCCCAGGGCCTAAGCCACCACTCCAAGTGTTGGGATGGAGAAGATGGGGATGACTCTGATACCAATTGTTACAAACCTAGCCCATACTAGGACCATATCAATGCCATAAGCTTAGGTGTAGAACTCACTCCCAAAAGACTAGCCGATTAGGAGGGGACACCTAGCTTATAAGCCACCGAAAGCCCATACTTGATCGGTGTGAGATTGTTACAAGAAGATAAAAGATAAATTAAAAAGAGAGTGAAAAGGTAAGTAATGTTGGATGAATTGAAGAAAACACTAGAGGTGGGAGATCAGGTACACCTCAAAATACTACCTTACAAACTCAAAAGCCTAGCCAAGAAAGTCAACCAGAAGTTGAGCCCAAGGTTCTATGGACCTTTTGAGGTCATTGAGAAGGTGAATCCAGTTTCACCCATCCTGTTTTTCGCTAATCTCTATTGAAGAAAACCTTATCTCCTAATCTAGTATGTCAGCCTCTTCCTAAGTACCTTTCAAAGGAATGGGAACTTCATGTGACCTCAAAGAGAATTTTGGATAAGGAAGTCAGCCCGCAGGAGAGTAGGAAGTCCTAGTTCACCGGAAACTGCTACCAGGCTTTGAAGATTCATGGGAATCCCTGAGCTAATTTCAGAAGCAGTTTCCCGCATTCCATTAAGGACTAGGTGGTAGTTGAAGATGGGAGTGATGATAGACAGGGACATGAGGGTATATAGACAGCCTATTAAATACTTGGCTAAAGGGTCAAATAGGTCCTTGTACCCGTCCAGAATGCTCAATTCGCCCCCGAACTCTAAAAAGCTCCAATTCATCTCCTGAACTCGACAAAAATTTCAAACCTCATTTTTTGCCGGTAAAGGTCCGGTCACCACCACGTCACCCGGTCAGGTGCCAACCTTGCATCCCACGCGGCAATTTAAGGGGTCAAATAGGCCCTTGAACCCAACAGAGTTGTTTAATTTACCCCCTCAACCGTTAAATAGTGTCCAAATTGCTATTACTCTCTCCGTCTCCCTATTGTTGTCCCAATTCCTACTCACTTGGTCAACACAAATCACTGTTAATCTCTTACTTTATGTATCCAATTTTTATCAAATTTGATTTTGGGTTTTGCGACTTTGAAAAGCTTTTAATGTAGTTTTTGTATATGCAATTTTTTTTTTTCTAAAAATAATTTGAGTGCGGACAAGGATCCGTTTGCTTTATCGTTGGTAAAACATCCTATAGGACAATAATAGGGGGACAGAGGTAGTAAAAAATAGAAAATAAAAATATAAAATAGGGAAAACTATCATATACGTCCCCATACTTTAAGCAAACCGGCAATTAAATCCTTATACTTTCAAAACGTTCAATTAAGCCCTCAAAGTAATAAAAACCACCCAAATAGGTCGTTTAGCCGGTAATACGCCGGTCTTCCGGTAATCCTATTGAATGGGCTGTCCATGTGGCGTTATTACTGTTCATTCATATTTTGTAAAACATCCATCCCCTCATATTCTTCCTCCAACCATCGTCCTCCCCTGCTTCATGTTCGTTACCCAGTTTTTCCGTAGCATCACAATCCAAAAACCATTTTAAAAAATTCACTAACCTATTTCTTTTCCTTGTTTGTGTATCATCCCAGATTTTCAGTTTCTTTGATATCTTCCATTAGATCTGAATTTTCATACCATTTAATTACTCCATATTAATCAAGAATCAGCCACCAAAGTTATACTTCCGCACACCCTTAGCACCATACAGCCACGCAATTGATTTACCGGACAACCGAAAGATGACAGTCTAAGTAGCCAATTTGGACGTTTTTGACAACTTGAAGGATTTAATTGAGTGTTTTTAAACTACAAGGACTTACTTGCCGTTTTTGATAAAGTACGAGGACTTATTTGATAGTTTTCCCTATAAAATAATATACTCCCTCCATCCCACTTTAAGGTTCCCACATGATTTACGATGTTTGACTGACCATAAAGTTAACTGATCCCTGTCATTAATAGAATTATTTTTAGTAAATAAAATTTACATATTCAGAAACTACATTAAACCCGCTACAAAACCTACAAAAAATCATTTAAATTTCATAAACTTTCGATATAAAAAGTAAAAGATTAAGAACAATGCACGTTGACCGGAGAATAGTGTACGGGAACCTTTAAATGGGACAGAGGGAGTACAAGTTTATAATATAAAATATAGACGCGTATTAATAATATATTAATAATATAATAAAGATATATTTATACTCGCGCTAAATTCATAAAAAATAAACTAAAAGAAATTCATTAAAATTATTTTGATATTATAAATCTATTGTTTTTTTAAAATAAACAATACATATTTTTCCAATTTAAAATTATATGCAATATTTGGTATTATAAAACATATTTTAGGTTTTGTATTTTACAATTTCTACTATGTTTATATATTATTAGAGTTGTATTTTTTTATTTGATATGGAGTATTTTTTAATATTTTTATTATGTTTTAGAGTTATATGTAAAATCACACACACACACATGCATATATGTATTACTTCGTATTATTTTATTCTAGAATTTTATACCATACTTCATACTAATTACATACACCATAAAAAAATTTATACTATATAAAAAGTATAATATGAAAATAGTTACTCCGTATTACATTTTTTAATTATGTATTTAAAAATATTATCTCTCATATTTTTTTATATTATAAATAGACGTCTATATTTTATATTATGAACTTGTATATTATTTTATTTTTTTAATTTCTTATTTTTTAATAACAAATTTGACACTTTTCAACTGTTGAGGGGGTAAATTGAACAACTCTGTCGGTTCAGGGGTCTATCTGACCGGGGTGACGTGGCGGTGACCGAACTTTTACCTGCAAAAAAGGATATTTGAATTTTTTTGTCCAATTCAAGGGGTGAATTGGAGTTTTTAGAGTTCAGGGGGCGAATTGAGCATTCTGGACGGGTACATGGCCTATTTGACCCTTCAGCCTAAATACTTTGATAAAGTGTTCAAAAGGAGGGGGTCAAGAAATTGTAACTAATTTGTGCTGAGGTGGACATTCCCGGTCGTGGGAACTGGGAATTATTAATAGGTGCGGGGAAGGGAAATATGGGGCAGTTGAGTATTCTGTTAGTTGGTTGGGCTTGGGAAGCGAGAGACACTCTTTTGTCTCATTACTTTCTCTTTTATAGCTATGAGATTTCCCTGTAATTCCTTAAGGATCACTTAGTTATCCGCTTGATCCATTGATCAATATAAGTTGAGTATTGTCCTTGGTTGTGTTCTTATCATCAATCAAAGTATGTTGGGCATGTTTAACTAGTTTAACTTTAGACATGCAATTGACAGAAATCATTAGTATTTTTTACCTTAAGAGTGTCGTCATATCATCATCACCATCACCATCATTACCCCAGTGCCGCAGCAAAGGCTCCAACCTACGGTGGAGTAGGGGGGGTTGGATGTACACAACCTTACCCTGTACAAAAGCACAGAGAGACTGTTTTCAGATGATCCATGGTGAAAATTACGTTGAAAATTGCATGGACTGATTGCTGCTTCATAACAAAGAGCGCAGATAGTTTAGTGAACCATTTTTATTTTATTTCATTATATTCCCTAGCAAAAAATAGTGAATCTTTGGCTCCATTGCAAATGATGGAAATAGAGTGTCGTTGTACTAAGAATTTAAAAAAAATAAATGCACGTTAATTACAACACCTATGCCTAAGTGATAGTTAATATTTTTAGTATTATGTTCACACATAAAAAGATAGATTGAACTGTTTTGTTAAAAATGATATTAAACATCAGTAAAAAAACAAAAAGTACTCCCTTCGTCCCCTATAACTTTGCAAAAGTTGATTGACACGTAGAATAATAAATTAAAAAGTGTGTGGTTGAGGTTTGTGTAGAGGAGAGAGAATTAATAGGAATCACAAATTCTTTATTTAAAAGGGAAAGTGGCAAAGTTAGTGAGACAACCTAAATAGGAAAGTTGTCATCAAATTTATAAGGGACGGATGGAGTAGTTGATACACTTTTTGACTATTGTGATTGAAACACTGAATTAGTTTATAAAGTTACCTTTTCACAACATGTATGCTTATGTATATTAAGCATTCTATTTTAAGGATTTTTCAATAAAAGTAAAATTAACAACATCATCATCATTACCCCAGTGCCGCAAAGTTCCTACCTACGGTGGGGTAAGGGGGTCGGATGTACTCAGAAGTTGTTCTCTTCACCTGATCTGAATGTTTCTGATCTGAATTTTTTAAGTTCTGATCTGATCTGATCTGAATTTTTCTGATCTGATCTGATCTGAATCTTTCTGATCTGATCTTAATGTTCCTGATCTGATCTGAATGTTCCTGATCTGATCTTAATGTTCCTGATCTGATCTGAATGTTTCTGATCTGATCTGAATCCTTCTGATCTGATCTGAATCTTTTTGATCTGATCTGATTTGAAAATTTCTAAAATTATAATTATAATTACTATAATTATAAATGTAATTACACATATATAATTTAAATATAATTATAATTATAATCATAATTATAAAAATTATAATTATAATTATAAACATAATTATAATAGGTATAATTATTATTATACGTATTACACTAGTTATAAATATAGCTATAATTATATTTATAGTTATATTTATTTCTATAATTATAATTTTAATTATAATTATAATATTTATTTCTATAATTTTAATTGTAATTACTCCGTATAATATGATAATAACGAAAACAAAACTAATAACAATAACAACAACAACCATAATATTAGTAAGGATAATAATAATCATCAGAGTAATCATAGTAATCATAATAATAATAACAATAATAATAACAATAATAATAATAATAACAATAATATTAAGAATAATAATAATAATAATAATAATAATAATAATAATATCAATAATAATAGTAATTAAAATAATTACAATAAGAACAACAACAACAATAATTATTATTATTATTATTATAATTATTAATATTATTATAATTATTATTATATTAATAGGGATAAATCATATCTGAACTTTTCTGATCTGATCTGAATGTTCCTGATCTGATCTGAATGTTCCTGATCTGATCTGAATGTTCCTGATCTGATCTGAATCTTTCTGATTTGATCTGATATGAATAAAATAAGAATAAGCAATAAGTAATAAGATTAAGACGAACAGAACAACTTCTCAGTCTAACCCCTGCAGTAAAGCACAGAGAGAGAGAGACAGTTTCTGGATGATCTGTAGTGAAAATTGCGTCGAAAATTGAATGGACCAATAGGTTCTTCATAAGAAAGAAGAGCAAACAGTTTAGTGAACTATTCATTTCAATAAAATAAAAGACTACCAATTAAGGTAGATTAAAGCATTTTACTTTTGAAGAATTGTTTACAACCATCGTTTATCCACTTAACAACTAAGGGTGATTTTCATGCACCATGGTTAGTTTTATAACTAATAGTGACATGGAAGGCATAATTATTCTAAGATGTTTTCATGAAAACAGAAATGTTGTGTGAAGATATTGTCCCTTAAAAGTCGGTTAGTTTACTTAGTTTTGAAAAATTACCTTCGTTTGAGTTTAAAGAACACCTTGGAACTATTTAGCAGTTACGTGAAGAACTTGAACAATAGAACTTCATTTGTTCTCTACAAACCATCTGTGGAAGTGTGCATGAGGTTGTGTTTCCCTTCATATAAAGAAACTAAACTTAGTCCTTGTTAAATTTGTTTGTAAACATGCATCAACTAAAATATATAATAACATTTGTTTAGAGTCATGTCACAAAACTGATATTATCTATTGAAAATTTGACGATGAAAATACATATTAGGTAATCAAATTGATACTCTACCTAATGACTCTCTTCTCATTGTCAGATCACTTTATGATGACATTCACCGGTCTGGTGTTATATATGCTGAATTCTGAATCTGGAGTGGCCTAATGAGGATTTTGAGGGTTCCCTACACAAAGTATATAGTCCCCAATGTCTATCATTGGGAATATCAAAAGTCACTTGGAACATTGCTCGTATTTATAATTGATAGCCAAAAATTATTGTACGCTGTGCATGTAGCACGTCATTTTTATTCTCCAAACGGATTCAAACATAAATACCCCCCAAATTAGGGATCTTTTGAATTATTCTAGGTATAATTTATTCTTTATTTCTTCCTAGGATTGTAAGAAGGGTGATATTATTATTGTAAGGGCGTACACTCATTTACTACTCTCTGGAACTATCCTGCTAGTGTGTATATTTTTAGGTGAAGCTAGTGATTCCGCTCGAAATATACCACATATCTGCCCTGCTTGTGGGGTGTGGTCCGTCACTCTGCTTTATTTTGTTATATGCTAATACTCAACTATGAACTATCCCTTCTATTATGCAGTCGGCTGGAGGGGAAGACTTTAATTGATGCAAACCATGTATTCCTTGAAACGCATAAAGGTTAGTACTCTTTTTACATGTATGATACTTCATCATCATCATCATACATTCATACCCTAATCCCAACTATATTTTGGCCGTTGGCATGAATTTTGTGTCAAAAGATCATATATAATTATGTAAACACTAAATTCAAGCAAAAAATATGCGGGTACTCCATCCAGGATCCGTCTTATATTACTACAACGACATCCTAGCCTTAGTCCCAAAAGATTTTGGGGTCGGCTAACATGAATGAATACATGATATTGGAGCCAAAAAGAAAAGAAAGATAAAAAAGATAAAAAAAATAAGGTAAGATAAAAAAAGGATAAGATAATGATACATATAAGATAAAGATAAAAATGATAAGGTAAAAAGAAAAATAAATAAAATAAAAGGGATAAACACATAAGAAAGATAATGAAGATATTAAGGCGTGCATAGTATTAAGACGTGCATGTTTTTAATGCAGGTTTATAAGAGTGCAATTTTGTTCACCCTCTCCTTGGAGGGTGAACATAACCCCCCTCCCTATTTGCTTGCCATGTGGCAAAAAAAGAAATGAAATGCCAAATGGCAACATTTGAGCTATGGGGGTGATGTTCACCCTCCAAGGAGGGGTGAACAAAATTGCACTCGGTTTATAATGCATGTATTAAAATCCATCTCATAGTATTAGTTCCCAAAAAACGTGCATGTTGATGATGCTGTTGATTGCAAATCATTATTAAAAACAAGTTTCTTTGGGAGCATATTTTTGATCTGTTCTATTTCAGTCACTATGTCCTTACCTTCAAGTGATAACAACAACAACAATGGGTTTGGTTCCGTTACAGATTCATTGATTCATAGGGCTGCTGTAGCGGAGTTGCTGCATGTCCTAGAGCCAAATAAGAAGGCAGATGCTGTTAAGTTAATTGAAGAGTCTTCAAATGGTCCAGTTTCAGTGTATGAGCTATTGACATTTGATTTGTTTTTATAGTTGAATCAATTCTCATTTCCTTTATTCTTAAAAATCTTTAACCTTGCATTTTTCCCAAAGTAGAAATGGAGTACAAGGGTCATTAATTAATTGGAAGCTGAAAGATTGCATTGATGTCCACAAATGTCTAGATATAGCTCTGGATGAACGTGATGCTGCATTGAGTAAGTTGTTTCTTCGTGTCTTATGCTCATTACTAGTGCATTAAAGTCATAAGATTTATGTGAACTATAGTTTTCAAATTGGATTCCATTGATCTTTTAAGGAATGATTAAGAGTATTAACTGTATAAATAACACATTTTGATACCAATGACTGGCCATTTAGCAATAATGTAAAATATTTTGATACCAATGACTGGCCATTTAGCAATAACGTAAAACATAGTAAAATGACTGGCCATTTAGCAATAACGTAAAACATAGTAAAATGACCAAGTTGCCTCCTTATTTATTTCACCATTGCGTGCAATTAACATCCCTAACATCCCTGATAATTGGAAATGCAGAAGCAAACTATACATTTTACTTGATATAGTAAATTTTACTATATGTTGTTGCTGTAGTAGTAAATTATACTCCCTCCGTCCCAATATAAAAGGCACACTTTCTTTTTCTGTCCGTCCCAATATAAAAGGCACATTTCCCTTTTTGGCAAACAAAACAGTGCAAAACAGTGCCAAACAGTGTCCAAACAGTGCCAAACAGTGTCTAAACAGTGTCAAACAGTGTTCAAACAGTGTTCACCCTTAAAAACTCCCCAAACGCAAATGTGCCTTTTATATTGGGACGGAGGGAGTATATACTACTCCCTCCGTCCCGAAAACAACTTCCCGGTTGGACTTTCACACACTTTTAGGAAATAAATTTGACTTTAATGTAGAATGCACTGTTTGGCACTGTTTAAACACTGTTTGGCACTGTTTAAACACTGTTTGACACTCTTTATCACTTTTTTGATGTAGATAATTTGCCAAATAAGGAAAGTATTGAAGTGTGAAGTTAATTTTGGGACATCCATTTAAGGAAAGTGGGAAGTTGTTTTCGGGACGGAGGGAGTATATACATTTATGATATACAACATACATTTTATTCGATCAGGCGGTTTTTCGTAGTGTAAATTTTACTTGAAAATTGAAAATGCAAAATATCTATGATCCCTTATGAGTTTAAGGCCTCAAGTAATGATACATTAACATCCCTAGTATATGTGATATAAATACATTATCACTTCAGCACGTTGAAGCATGATTATGCTTTCTGAGAATTATCAGAAGGGATGCATTATGAGGCCTCATAAATTTTCAAACATTATGCATCAAGAAAGGATGCATATTGGATCTTAGGAGATATACGTTATCAATTATGCATAATGAACCTTGCCTCGGAAGTGCAAAGCAACTCAAGGCTTAAAAACCTTATCCCTCAGTTGAATAAAAAAAGTTTAATTTCATTTAGCTCTGTCCACAGGTTCCTAAGATGAAAAATACATCCACCCTTTGATAAATCAAACTTCTTTAAATGACAAGAAAAGATGACACTATATTATGATATCAGAAGGGATCTTTAATTACATGAGAGGTTTAGGTAGGTTCTGGATCCAAATCGAAATTGGACATCCAAAAACGGAACTAACATTTTCGGTTTTAGAAAATTCATAACTGAAACTGAATCCATATATGGTTAGGAACCGATATTTGGCAACCAGAATTTTGGTTCAGTTTTATCAGAAACCATTTTTTTGTCTATCCCAATTCCCAAAGCTTTAAAGTAGTTATTTTTGTGAGGGCTTAAAGTAGCTTTCTAAAAGGCAGCAAAAAGTGAAAAGCGCCACTGGAAATCCAAGCGCACATGTAGGGCATGATAAAGAGTGTTGCCTAACCAGTAACCAATAAATTATTTGTACATTAAAATGTATATATTCCAATAAAGTTTAAAAAGGTTAGTTCGGTTGCCGTGGTGGTTTGTTCTAGAGAGGCGGAGTGTATAAAGAATTTGGAACAAGTTCAGGTGCTCAACTATATACTCTCTCCGTCCTGAAAAGGTTCGTCAAATTGACTTTTCTTGCTCAATGGCAATCAACTTTGACCAATGATATTTTTTAATACAAAATTATTTAGAATATGAAAATTATATCAAAATGTCCCTTATTCAAAATATTTTCATAAAATTATAAATTTATAAATTATATACAAATATAATAATTAAAATCATTGTCCCTAGTTTGCCATCATTGATCAAGAAAAGTCAATATGGCGAACCTTTACGGGACGGAGGATTCAGATCAATTCCTTGGTGATGGATAATCACAGAAGTATTCCAAAGGGGGTACCCACACGGACAATTTTCAACAGATTATATGCTATATTTTTTCCTCCTCAATTTCAGTGCCTTATACAATTTGATGATTGTATAAGTGGTGGTATGGGCTTTTAGCTCGCATCCCCCCCCCAAGAAATCCCCAATGAAAAATACATAGTATTCTCCTCTTTCTATCGAATTGATCGTAAACACTACCAATATTCCATAAAATAGTACACCACATATACAAACTAATAAAAAGACCCCAAATTCTGTAGAAATACATGACTATTTCTTGTGAAAAAAAAAGAATTTGCTTGGCTGGAAAAATAGATATCCAATTTCTACCAAGATAATTGGAAGTTCCTACTAATAAGAATCCCAAGGAACCTAAAGATTATAGACTTGGGTATAAGTTCTATGCATAGATGCTCTGATCGCCAACTCATACTACATCCGATTTTATTTTATTGAATTAATAAAAAACCCCATTTATTTTGAACTTTGCTATTTCTAAAGTAATTTTCATCAAATATATACTAGTTTGATGAGAACTGGCACTAGATTGATGGAAACCTTTAGGGGTAATTCATAAACTTGGTTAAGTCTATAATAATAATGCCTGAAGTCAATACGATTCAACAGTTATTCCTCATGTGACACAAGAAAAAGACAAGTTCCAAAAAGGGAGGACCCTTGTATGATTTGTATCTAAAATATCTAAAAACTCTTATTTTTTCTTGAACAGCAATAAATTAATAAAACATTGCAATTAACGGCAATAGTAGTTTTGGCCCCCTTTCTGTCAGCAGCACCCAAGCTGAGCACCTTCCCGTCTTTGAAGATTTTTCGTGATAATAATTCACGAACATTTTAGGGAAGTCGAGGACATGGGGCATGAAAGGCTTGGGCAGGTATGACAGGATCTTCAAGAAGAGCAACTCCATGAGCTCTTCAAGGCCTGTTGCAATGCCCTTGGCCTAAGATTCTAGGGAAGGTCAGTGACAAAGGATTTCCCCTCAACCGAGATTTTGTGTAACTCGACCTCGACATTCAAAGATTTTGAGACACGAAGCCGCTCGACAATGAATCCGGAGAAATTACCCTGCATGTACTCCGAAGCTGGCTAAGAAGATCCACAATGAGGTAACTCCGATCAGGGGCTGGAAGAGTGGCGTCCACAAATTTCACCTTGGCCGCCTCGGCGGCTGCCACATTCAGCAGACCCTTGAGCCGCCTTGAGTGCAAGGTTGGATGCCTCTTTGCCTTTTGCCAGAGTGGCCACCTCTTTCTCCCGGTTCAAACACACTATTTGAAGCCGCACGCCATTCTGAAATAGTGACCACCCAGCCAGAACGGGAACAGACATCAGTGAAAAGGACAGAGGAAACAGAAGGCTCGGAATATTACTTTGAAAAGATCAAGGAGGGCTCCCTCCTCCAAGTTGTCCGTCAGAGTCTCTCAGAAGCCACCTGAGCAGCGGTTTACCCACCGATGCAGATGGAGCCGTCTGAAGCCACCATAAGCAAGCAACGTCACCTAGGACCTCCCGACAAGGCTTTTTTGCCAAGAGTTGCTCTTCAGGGATTGAGCTGAGGGAACACTCGAGATTGATCGCGGGGCCGTCCGCCTCAAGGACACTTGTCAATGGCAGTGGGTTGAGGATGACAGTAATGATCTAGGGACGCCTGTCGAGCCAGCCTTCTCTTGACAGCCTGAAGTTCGGACATCAGATGTTGTCTTATTCTTGGCCTGGGTGGTGGCCCGGCGAGCGGCGTTAGCACTTAGCCCTCTGATGCTTCTTTACATTCATCTCAGCTTGGTTTGGTTGATCTGTCATCTGGCCATTACCTATCCAAGGTGAGCCTCGATGTCCGACTCAATGTGACTGAGCTCTCAGAAACTGGAGTGCGTAAAAGGATCAACACCGGGCAACATGCCAATTCCCACGTCAGCCAAGCGAGCAGTCGTGACATACTTAGTGACCGGTTCACCAATCTTCGATGGGAAGGTGTTCAAGTGATTAGTGAACAGGATTTCCCCTATTTAGACGAGGAAGAAGCACCGTTTCCAGGATTTATGGGAGGATTTGTTGTGTTGGAAGAGGATCCGCCCGTCCGAGAATTGATGAAGACACACGAAAGAAGTGGCGGAAGAGATTCAGGTTGATAGTCGCACCTTTTTCGCAGCAGAGGACAATGAAAGCCGCAATCACGCTGTTGGTGTTTGGCATAAACTGAGCCGGATGATGTAGTAGACGTTGAATATTCAACGAAGAATGAATGGAAGGGAAAGCCTCACCAGCCACTACCGCACCATTATGCACCATTATGCATTGGGGCTTGTCCCGCATGAGATGCAGGATGAAATTGGCAAATCACTGGACCTCAGACTGGATGTAGAACATGATCCGCTTGATGAGGTGCTTGGACGACACCTGATCTTGGAATTGGATGGCCTTTGAAGTTCAATTCGTGATAGTGGTGCGTTTCCGGATGACCACCACCCCTTTGGTAATCCCTACGTTCGGATCCCGACTCATACTTATCCGGGTCTCATTTGTCATCCTCTCTGGAAGCCTCCTCTTCCCTGCTCGTGCCAGATATGCTCTCCTCTTCTTCATCACCTACTTCCTTGGCTGCCCAGGAGCCGGAAGCACCATCCTTTCTGATGCCCTTGCCAGAATTTTCCCATCCCATGCGGGTGAGACGTTGATACTGGGATCACTTGAACCCAAGCCGGTTGTTCCTGAAGCAGAAACTATGGGATGCTCGTCCTCTTGAGTTTGGCGGTCAAAACTTTCACTTGACATCACTGGGGTCTCTGAGAACTGAAGACTAGTGGGAGCCGTTGGAGGTCAGAAGGCAGATAAGTATCGAAAAGATAAAGGAAGAAAGAGACATGAGGTTGACTTGGAAAAGAAGTAGCAGACTGGAAAGAGAACGAAGCGCCAGAAGCTTGATTGGAGGGTAAAAGTATGATGCAGAGAAATAAGCGCTGTGAGAGTTCAGACTTCAGAAAGTGCAAAGGAAGAAAAGGATTTGGGGAAGGGTATTTATAGCAAAAGCGACCGCCCTGGAAATCAATTACAGCGCGATACGTGCACCTAGGAGCGAGGAGGGGCACACGTCAGCCAGAGGCGAACCATCGCCATCATAACCTTTGCCTCGAGCCCCACATACACAGAGACTTGCAATGCTCTCGTGCTACCAACCCATGATGTCAGATGGGTGGATGTCAGTCAAAATACTTATGCCTTTTGCACGCTTTAAACATCAAAAGTGGGGGCCGACCCAACATCACTGGGCCTGTTAAACGCCCAAGAACCAGGGATGGACGCCCACCCAAGGATGGTGATCAGGTAAAGGGGCTGAGGCCAAGGGGCTCACCCTGAGAATTAGGATAGAGGACGAACATCCCCAGTTCGGTCGAGTAGTATCAACGGAAGAGCTCCTAACTTTATTAAATGAATGGGCACTAAGATATGCAAATACAAATAACATCTTATGACTCTCCGAGAGTATAATTCCAAATCATAGAAACATAAATCGCTGGGACTGACGCGATCTACGAACCAAATGCCGCGTACCGAAACGCGGTGCGAAACCGTTCCAATCGCAAGTCGGATCGCAGGGGGAAAACGCTTCGCCAATCGTTCCCAATCACAATTGAGGTCGTTTGCCATCGCTTATGAGGTCGTTCGCCATCGCTACACACTTCGTTCCCAATCGCTACTGGTCTCGAGCTGAATCACGATTTCCGAACCAGTAGCTTGGTTGTCCTCGTTTCCTGTGCGGATATAGACGCGTGGTTCTTGTCTTTTGGATTTGAAACTTTGAATCGTTTCTACAGAGTCGTTTCTACTCACAACTAGCCTCTTCGATTTCTGCTCATAATCAAAAGTTACGACCTACGAGGCTACGAACTCTTCAGTCTTCTCTTCAACTTTTCACTTAATGATTGTGGTACTGTTTTCTATTTCTGGAATATTAATGTTTTTATTTTTTATTTTTTTCAATGTTATAATTTATGATTATCAAATCTGTTTTTGATTAATGCTATGATTTTTTTTTGCAGATTAATGTTATGAGTTATGAAATCTGAAATTCAGTTTTATATATGTACCAAAATATAAGATACATCGTACCGAACATGTGGTACACCGTACCGAATGTGTACCGGAATGAACCTACCCCCCTCCGAACCGGATACGCTAGATCTAGCGAACCGCGTTCCCGTTCCCCGTACCCGTTTCGAATCGTTCCGCGAACCATGTGACTATGTTCCAAATATCTTCTTTGTTAGCAAGGCGAGCAGTCCTGTATATTGAGATTTCAAAGGGGGGAAATATTCATCTCTTTCTGGTGCGGGGACAGAGTACAGAAAATGAAAAACACAATAACATGAAAAAGCATTTAGAAGAGATTCAAACTTGGGACCAACTCCTATAGATAGATAGACATTACAAATTGGCCGACAATGCCAGTTTTAAGTTTGGTATTGCAGAACTAGTATAACTTTATCATTAAATGGACTAGTTGCCGAACCGATTTCTTACTCGAGCATGGCCATTTGGGTCCCATACAACTCCATTCAATTTTATTCAAGTCCATTTGGGTCTCATTTAACTCCATTCAATTTTATTCAAGTCCATTTTTCGGTTGAGATTTTAGCTTTAGTTTTATGTCCATCTCAGATGTGTTGGTGTATTTTCCAGCATGCTCCATACACTTTTTTTCCCTTTCTCTAGAACAGGTGTGGACTTCATTGATAGTTATCTAGCATGTGTGCTAAAACTGATTTTTTTTGTAGGATGGAAGGAACACTGTGCGGAGTATTTCCCATATTCTACTTACTTTGGCGGCTCTCACAGCTCAGTGTCTATTGGTTTAGCCCACCACTTGATAAGACAAACTCCTGAAAATGGCTTACCTTCTCAAAATAGTGATCTCGAAGCAGGCTACATTTCATCTAATGGGAGATTACAGAACCACGATGGATTCAAGGATCTTGTCATCCGATCTTTATAATTAGAGATATAAAGGTAAAGGGGTCTCAAACTATGAAATCCATTTTTGCTGCAGTTTATCACCTACTGTTTTTTACTGTCTATGTCATCCAACATGTCGAGAGACTAGTTACATTATCTAGCTAATTATTGTGGAGAACAGTAGCATTTCCGTACTACCCGTCTACCTCAAAGTATTGAACGCTTCTTTCTCTAGAGTTATACAAGCAGATGCCCGGAGTTTGTGGGCAAAGCTCATATCCATCCATCCATCCGTGCATCTTTAAGAGCATGTATTTTTCTTCTATATCTAGTTGTGCATTATTTGGTATGCAAGACATTTTTCACTTGAGAATTCTTTCATTATTTATGTATGAACAAAGTTTGAGTAATTTGTTGATGCCTTCTCAGTTTTTAACCAGTTGAAACAGCAAATGTCAATTTTTACAAAATGTTCAAAGCGGGCGCGTATCAGGTACATAACCAGCCTGGATTTTGCACCATTGGCTGTGTCATGTGGAATTGACGTGGAACATGCATTTGAGATGCACTGAGTGTAGGAAATGAAGTGGTTTACGGTTTGCACTTTGCAATTGTACTCTGCAGTATAATACTGTCCTGGAATATAGCCGTTTGAGTTGGACATGCATATTAAGAACTTCAGAGTTCTTAATTGGGAATTTTTCACAAAGAGACAAAAAAGTGAAAGTAATATCACTTTTGTCACCTTATAAAATACTTTTCAAAAATAGACCAACTCGGCTCTTTCTTTCAAAAATAAACTACGTATTGAACTAACGTACCGGAATCTGTATTGAACCAACGTGCATGGATACTAGGCTACTTCTATCACACTGCACACTTTGTTAAATTTATATAGACTCGAAGAATTATTCATTTCATGTTTTTTAAAATAAAAAAATGAATTTATACAGTAAAAGAGATCATGATAATTAGAAAATAATGAAAATATTAAAAATTAGCTATCAATAATAAATAATCAAATAATCAAATCACATAATGCATAATAAAGAATCGAGGTCGAAAACTAATAATAAGCTGGATTTAAAAAACAGAATATATATTAAAAATTAAATCAGAGATATGAAACGTATACAATTTTGAAAAAACAAAACTCAAAAGTAAAAATAAGAAAATTTTAATATAGTTTATGAAGTGGAAAATATGTAGAAATATAACAATTTATGTAATTTTATTTCTTAAAGACTTCATATACACTATGATTTGTACTTAAAGCAATAAAAATTATAAATAACTGATTTTTTTATATAATTAATTTAAAAATTCAAATATATAAATAAAAAAGTGAAAAGAAATCTTAGAAAAAGAAAAAATGAAATTAAACCCTGTAATATTTGGAATTTTAAAAATAATAAAAATGGTTTTGAAGATTACAAAATATTTGAAAATATTACAAATTATCTTAGGCAATTATAAAATATTATGAAATTGTTATTATTTTAGAAACCAATATACATACAAAGTATAACAAATATATAAATTTAAAAAAAAATCAAAAAATCAAAATACTATAACATAAAATGTAAATATGAAATTGTTTTAAAAATTAAAAAGAAATAAATTTAATTAAACTAAAAAGTATGAAAAATACAAACTTGAAAATAAAGTTGTGAAAAATAAAAATTGAATTCGAAATAGAATTTAATGTTGACAAATTTTAAAATTTTAAAGATATGAAAAATACTTTTTAGATAGATTTGTTGTTTGATTCTGTTGCATATTGTTTTTTCTTGTTTCTTTTTGTTGATAATTCTGAAAGTTTTGTTTTATATTGTTTCTTTATGTTTCCTCTAGTTGGTTTATATATAAATTATATACAGAAAGTCAAATTTATTATTTTACCTGATTGAATATGAATCTATATATGATTTGTTTTACTTTAAAGAAGTAGCAACGTTAAATAAAAATCTAAATATACAAAAATCAATAATTATTCAACAAAAAACAAAAATAAGTAATACATTGCAACAAATAGCAACACAATGAAACAAAAAACAACAACATGCAACAAAAAGCAACACATTCAATACATTAAAAAGCAACAAAAAAACAATGTATGAAAGTATCACAACAACCATGTAGTTCAATCTAGTATTTCAATGTATTACATATATCCCATTTTTTCATACATATGTATAAACAACCTGTAACCTTCTTCAACTTCACCAACTTATGTAAACTTGTGGATAAGGATGTTGTATGTCTTCATATTGCCGGGGAAAACATTTGCAAACATTTCATCCCATAGCAGTTTTGCAGGCCTCACTAAATCTTCACTATAGCAGGCTTCTAGAAGTGAATTGTAAGATTATATGTCAAGATCAAAAGCTTTTCTTTTCATTTCACAAAGAAGATCATAAGCTTCCTTTACTTACCCACTTGGCACAAAGTGTGATCATCACTTTCTAACTTTGTTGATCTGTAAAATATGCTATAGTCTAGCAGACATCTTCTAAAAAACCACAACTAACATTTCAACATTATCACGCTTGCTAAGGTTCCTAGTACTTCCTACCCATATAGTTCAAAGTGAGAAGGGTGGGAAATACATTTTTTCAACCATGAGTAGATTATTATCCATGGGAAAATTCCCATTTATGATTACTTCTCCCAACTCTGATGCATCTAATATTAGTCTTTCTGAAATCAAGCTAAATTAAAAATGAATTCTTTATAATCATTGGATCTAGGTGCAACTCTCAGCTTCCTTTTTTTCTTCAGTACCATTTCTACATCGACCACATTTCCCATTCCTCTCAATGCTTCTGAAACAACCCCGTATGCTATAAAATCGGGTTTATAGTCTCTTTTCCTCAACTCATCCAAAGCGACAACTAGCAGTTTAGATGATCTGCCATTACATTGACCTGCCCAAGCTGCCTGTGATGTCATATCTACTAGTAGAGATTACACTTCTCATCTAATAAAAAAATAGCTAGTCATCAACACTTCCAAATTGAAGCTAAGAATATAAATTAAAATTCCTAATCCAAAAAAGATTTTAAACTAGAAGACTGCAAATACAATCTTCAGAGGCCATTCTTTACGCCAATCCTTATATTCTGCACATTTATTGACAATTTTTATCTATGGTCTTCTATATCCTTCAAATGCAAAAACTCCTTCTGCCTATGAAATTTATGCAGAAACTCAAAGGTCATCTATTAGTTTCCAGATTTTGTAAGGTTTTCTTTATGAATCGCCTAATACGGAGTTGAACATTTTATCTTCATATTAAAGTTCTATTTGAATACTAAAACTGCAGAGCACATTTGAAGGATAAACTGAAAGTTGTTTCAGAAACTATTGATACTAATATGGTAAATTAATTTTCAAAATGTTTGAATAGAATCTCCGACAAATCAAAACCGATCAAAACAAGCTTATATTCAAGCAATCCAACCGTAAAACTTCATAAGAACTCAAATTACTTCAAAGCACTATCAACAAGCGCAGGTTTGACGCAATTTACGGAGAAGAGGAATTTAAAAACTTCTAAATACCTTATGAACTTATTCATTCAAAAATAGGATGAAGGGCTCGATATCGAAGGAAACCTCTCGCCTGGACGTTGGAGGAAGATACTTTTTCAGATCTGCGTCATAAAGTTCAACTCGGCAACCTGTGCAACCGTAACTGTAGTGCAACAAATTCGCAAATCGGCGACTAAGCTATAGCAAAACGGTGACTGTGCTAACATCGATCTGCAGATTCATCCCCTGTCCACTCTGCGTAGAAAGCTCTGGCCGGGACGAAGGAGGTATATCCATTCTCTCATCTGCATAGGAAAACTTGGTGATGCCCAATTTCGACCATGGAATCCCCTTCGTCATTCGCTCGCTCTCGAAGCCTTCCAACGACGGGAATGCTTCTCTCTGTTATGCTCCGTATTATTTTGTTATCTACGGAGGAGGTGCAAAACAGATCCAGAATTGAAATAAAAACATTATTGAAATTACAAAAGATTAAAATTGAAAAGAAGAAATAAATGGAACATAAATGATATGTGGGGCATAAAAGTGGACCATACGAGTAATTTCCACTTCTTAATTCTCTTCGATGCCTAGAATCCTAGATGATAAAATATTTTTCAATAAGAAGCGGATCACAATTATTGTTCTCTCCAGCAGTCCAGCAAGAATTATTCTTTGTTTTACGTCCATACTTTTATTATCTATCTTCACTATGATTAGTCAATTTGAGTCAAAAGCTTATTGGTTATTGGTGAGTAGAAACCAATCCAACTTGCAGTTGTTGATGTTTATATCGATCAATCATAAAAGAATTTTTTTTATTTGTTCGGATTAGATTAAGCTTCTTATGAATCTGGATATTCATAAAAAATAAGAATATTATTTTGGGTGGAAAAGACAAAAAGAAAGTAATCAAGTTTATTTCTTGATAGGAGTGATATTTTATCGATTGTTGAGTGCGAGTGTATAGCAGGCAGGGTGACTAATATTGCAATTACTCGTATTACCTAGGGATGAACACAGTCCGATCCCAGCTCTGGTCATGGACCAGCTGGCCCCAGTTTGTGAAATTGAAGCCCGTAGCAGACCTTCCTTTATATGGGTCCCGGTACCCAGCCGTTCTCGGATCCGGTCCTGGGCCGGTTCGGGCTTAGTTCATATTTTTTAAATAAATAACTAATGCTCATTAAAAAATTAATTGTAGATTTATTTCAAACACAACATTGGCTTAGAGTATTAGACATTTATAAATTAAAATGGAGAAATAGAAGAATAGTTTAAACTTTAAATACAAAAAGTGATAAAGTCACGAACTAAATTCAGAATCGCTTTCGGAGTCACGAAGTTATCTAGTGTTATGTTAACTTCTTGTGAATCTTGTGGTTAAAGGTGGGTCTTCAACTAATTGTTGAAGTAAATGAGGGTCTTGATAACGGATGAATCGGGCTTGGGTCGGGGCTTGGGTGGGACTGGGATTGGGTAGTGGACTAGTGGAGGCCTAGTACCTGCTGGGGCAGGTTCCGGGACCGGGCAGGGGTTGGGTTAGGTTAAGCCTGTCAATGGGTTGGGTCCAGACCCAAACCCGACCCGGATCCGTCTTTTTTTTTAATGGGTATGGGTCTGCATTTAATTCCGTTACTCGGACCCTGATCCGGACCCGTTATTTAATGGGTCGGGTATGGTATATGTAGTTCCGACCCGTTTAGGACTCGACCCGTTAATACTTATACACACACACACACACACACACACACACACACACACACACACACACGCGCACACACACAGTCTAATATACCTGTTAGATTAGCTGCCATCCACATTATGATTTAGTTTAATAAATCCTAAGGATCCATAAGCTAGATTTTCCAGACCGCGGAGGATTCAAGAAAAAACTTGTCCAGTTTCCAAAGCCATTAATTTTACTCTTTATTTTAACACTATGTATCTTGCAAATTATACACAAACTCAAAATTCTCAAAGAAGGCAAAATTATTCTACACTTGCAGTAGAAGAACACTGGAAGAGTCATAATTCTAGTGCCAGGATGTTTTTGCAAAATGTAAATTATAAAGGATTGCTCTTTTCATAGTGAAATTATGCTTTTGGAATTATGCTTTTGTAAAAGTCAGATGGAGTTATTTTGGTTTTTGTTATTTTTATTTTCACAGATTCAAAGAGGCTTTTGGCCTGGATAACTTAAGTTTTTGCAGTTGCCCAATGCACCTTATTTGTTACATTAAACTTACGTTTTTGTAGAACTTATGTTTATTTCCCCGTGGCAAAACCAGTGCACCTTATGTGTTACATTTTGAATGTGTAGATCTGAAACTTTCATGTTTAAATTGTTACTATTGTTTGAGTAGTTACAAACAAGTAATTATAGTTCATGTACCATATTGTTGCCAGAAAAGTACTCGGTAGTAAGAGGTCATGTTTTTTATTTAAGAAAATAGAATTGGATTTTCGTGAGACTGGTCGGGTCTACCCGACCCGATTCCGAAACCCAATGGGTATGGGTCCGGAACATTAGTTCTAGACCCGCCGGGTATATGGGCCGGGTCTGGAATCCTGTAGAGGCTCACGGGTCCGGGTCTGGGAAACTATGTTTCGGCCCGTACCCGACCCGTTGACAGGTCTAGGTTAGGTGTTTTTTTTTTTTTTTTAAATTTAGGTTTTTCTTATTTATTCCTACTCCCCCACCCCTAAACCACCCAGCCCCACCCGCCTCGCACCCAACCCATTGAAAAATATAAAAAAACATTTTGGGCCCGAACCAGTCCAGTGGGTCCACCAAATTGCTCACCCGTAGCCCCCCCGGGTTGGGCCCCAGTCCAGGTCCTGGCCGGCCGGTTCGATTGGTCCCGGTCTCCCGGACCATCCTTAGTCTCGAGAGGTTTTGCTAAGTTTTTGTTACACAACAATTGTTGAAACTGACGTTGATAACAATTGTTTCGTTATTTTTGATAAAATGGGGAACATCCCTTTGTGGTTCTTTCACCATTGG